TTGCACATGTACTGCATTGCTTTTTATGTAATTCCATACATTTACTTTTATAGCCCCTCCCAAATTTTACTTGCATTCCTGTTCTCTAAAGGGGCGGTCCTAGGGTTTGATGAGGGCGTGGCCAGGTTTGGGTGGGGGCGTGGCCAGGGGAGGGAGGTGAGTTCCACCACCTTTTCTCTGAGAAAAAAAGCCCTGGAGACCGACCTCTGGCAGCTGGGTGCTTAATTGTCAAGAGTGAAAATTTGACAGTTATAATAAAAATTACTAAATTATTAATTATTAACTCCAGAAGCGGTGAATGCGCCAACACTGGAAGTTTTTAAGAAGAAACTGGACAGCCATTTGTCCGAAATGGTATAGGGTTTCCTGCCTGAACAGGAGGTTGGACTAGATGACCTCCAAGGTCCCTTCCAACTTTATCATTATTATTATTATTATAAATATGAGATAGTAGATATTAAGAGAAAAAGAGAGGAAGTATTAAATGTTGAAATAAGAGAAGTTTTGGTCACTAAATTTAAAACATTTGGAAATTACCAGAAAATAAGAATATTATGTTGTATTATTAATTGGTTGATGTAAGATGGCGAGAATTCAAATAGATAAGATGTGTATCCTGAACATTAGATCTTGTGATGAATTGTGATAAAGGGAATTGGGATTATTTAAAACTTGGAAATTATAAATATTAAACGTTAAATCTAAATATTAATGGGAAACTAAAAATTGGGAAAAACTAACCAGGACATTGATTGTCTTTAAAAAAAATTGAATGTTAAAACAACTAGGATATGTATAAACAAAAATTATTGATAAATGTAAGAAAGTTATTTTTATTTAATCGATATAATAGGAATTGTATTAATTTAAACATGAGACAGTAAATACCAAGGGGAAAAGAGAGGAAATATTGAATGTAACAGTTTGAGATTTGTACTAAAGATATTTGTATGTTATTGAATTATTGACCAACTCAGCCGCCACGTTGCTTTTCAAATGTTCAAATGTAAAATTAGAAAATCAATAAAAAAATTCTTAAAAAAAAAAAAAAGAAAATTTGGCAGTTACCTACCTCTCTGTTTTCAACTTGCCATTAAAATAAGGGGAGAGGGAGGTGTTGTTTTTGAATGAGTTAGTTAGAGAAATGAAATCTCTCCAGTTTTACAGAAGCTTGCTGAAAGTCGGCAGTATGGAAATCTTTCAAGGACATTCTAGAACAAGGGTCCCCAACCCCCAGTCCGTGGACCAGCACCAGGCCACAGCATACCAGAAACCGGTCCACGCAAACAAGCAAAGCCTCATCCACGGGATGCAGGCAGTACATGAAACCACACCCCCTCTGGTCCGCAGAAAAACCTCTCTCCACGGAACTGGTCCCTGGTGCCCAAAAGGTTGGGGACCTCTGTTCTAGAAGGCGTGAAGAAGATAGCAGATGGGTCCCATAACAAAGAAAACTTGTTTACATGAGCTACATGGACATCTTGGGGGGGGGAGGATTGGCTGGGAAAGTCATTGTTATATGCTATAGTCTGATGCCTTAGAATTTTAGAGTTAGTTTTACCTCACCTTTACCAGGCCATGTATTCAATAAACAGCTTTTCAAAAATGAAAATAATCCTGGACTTTTATTTGGAAGTTAAAATTAATGTTCAGTGTTCCTAAATTTTACACATTTTGTTTGTTTGTTTACCATTACACCTATAACCCTATTTGCTCTTTGCATAAACACTCAACAGAGTTTCCATATTTAAACTGTAATTCATTCTAATTCTTTACTATTGCAGGATACCTGGATTGTCCAGAACAGCAAGCCATTGAGCAATATTTTATGTATTTATTTATTAGATTTTTTTATCCCTCATTGACTACTTTTTTTAAATAAATTCAAAATGGTAGATATGCACGCCTTCCTTGTTTTATCATCCCCACAGCCCTTTTCTATTTTTCCCAGCCAACATTTTGAGGTGAGTTAAACCAAGAGAGAGTTACTAGCCCCAAACCACTCAGCCAGTTTTTCATGCCTAGGCCATACTAGAACTCACAGTCTTCTGTCTATGAGATTCTCAGTCATCCAGGTCATAGTTATCCCAAAGGTGCTTTTTCACGAGGCAACAAGACTTTCTTGTTTTTCTTTGAAGACGTTTGTTTCACTTCTCATCCAAGTTGGTTTGAAAGAAGGGTCAAAGAGGCCATCTACGTCAGAACTGAACAGCCCTCTCCCAACAGAGGGGGAGGGATACGACATCGTCTATCTCCAGTCTGCCACACAATCCTTTCAACAGTTCTAAGAAGGCTCCACGCCCATTTGCACCACTTAGGTGACCCTGATGACACAGATAAACCTCCAGATGGCTTCAATGACCCTCTAAAAGAAGTCAAATGACCAACCCTCAGCAAGGAGTATAAATCCTCACATTCCCCACCACCCAGTCAGAGCGGAAGAAACTTCTTGGATGAGAAGCAAAACGTCTCAAAGAAAAACAAGAATGTCCAGTTGCCTCATGAAAAATGCACCTTTGAGATCACAATCTTCTGGTTTCTTAACCACACACGAAACGGGTTCTCTATATTACTAACGTATCTTGTTCGCAACCTCTGAAAAGGTCCCAAGTGTCTCAGTCAACCTAATTTGTCCAATTTACAACCTCCTCAATCGATACCAGTGACTGATCTGTGGATCGAGCCTTTGAAAGCTCCCAACTGCAATAGGGAAAGCATGAGGGGAGAATTCCTGTGGGATGCTTCTCACCAGCCACTAAATATCCGATGCCCTTGGATTTGATGTCCTCGGTCAGTTGTCCAGTCTTTTTGAGATAGTTCAGGATGTAGATATTGGGGGCAAAGAGGGCCATGTTCTGCTCCCCACAGCCGTAGGGCATCTTGAGAAGCTGGTGGAGGTTCTGTATCGCTCCCCCGAGAACGTCTCCTGAGATGGGGAAAGAGGAGGACAGATGACATAGATGATCTTGGCAACGTTTTTTTTATATATATAAAAATGTTATTATTTTTTTAGAATTACAGTGTCAACGCTGCTAACGTCAGATGTTTTTGCTTTGACAACATATGGAGTTACAACCATTTTCCTTCTTGTGTTTTACTCTTAAAATTAGAGTTAGAATTAGATGATACTGGGGGGGAGGAGGAGGAATGTTCATGGGAACAATACTGTAGCTAGTGTGTGAACCAAGATTAAGGTAAACAATGCCTCGAAGTTCTTTGAAGAGTTTCATCTGTTGGAACCATGACATACAGTCTTTAATGCTTAGTAAACAACATGTTGTCTGGGTTCAAATATTTTAACATTAACGTCTTCACTATAAATATGTTCAATACTACACAATACAGTATTTTTCCCTGATCAGCCTTTCTTCTCCATATTTTTTCCATTTCCCCCTCATTACACCATTACAATTTTTGGCACTGTTAATGTATACAAACTTAAATATAAGCATCTTCATCATATTTTACTAATATCACACCAATAACAATAATAGCAATTCATAAAAATAATGTCAATTCATCAATCAAAATCCTGTTTTTCATGCTATTGTTAAGGTTTAATTTCCCATTGATATTTGAAATATCTTTATCAGTTATGATTTTCTCAATATTAATTACATGATGACCTTGCCAACTTTGATCCCCCCTCAAAAGATGCCATTGCTTGAGTATCCAGAGAAATCTACTAACTTTCTCCCAGTCTTAGTCTGATGCCTAAAATGGCCAACTGCAGTGAGGGTCTAACATGCTAGAACAGTGATGGCAAACCTTTTAGAGACTGAGTGCCCAAACTGCAACCCAAAACCCACTTATTTATTGCCAGGTGCCAGGTGGGCATAGCCCATTGGGTGGGTGTGGCTGTGGTGATCATGGCAGAATAGGTGGGTGTGGCCAAGGTGGGCGTGATCACCTCGATGTTGCTCATGGGGAGGGACACCTGTGGGGGCCGGGCAGGATTGGGGGAGGTCCAGGGGGTCCCTGGCAGGTGGAGTGTTGGGGAGGAGGGGTGAGGCGAGGCAAGGCGAGGCAGGGCGGGGATGCCATTGTCGCAGGGCAAGGTAAGGCAGGGGCCATGGCGGCTGCTGCCTGACACCATCAGCCCCCGCACACAGAGGCCAGCGAGCAAATGGGGGCCGACAGTGTCTGTCAGCAGCCACAGCCTGCCGGCCCCTCGACCGGTGCACTCTGGGGCTCTGCAGCCCGCCGTCAGCAGTTCAGAGAAGCCGCCTCTGAGCTGGACAGCCAGCCGACCGCTCAGAAGATCACAAAAGGGGATCACATGACCCCGAGACATGCAACCATCATAAATATGAGTCAGTTGCCAAGTGTGGGAATTTTGACCACATGACTGTAGGGATGCTGTAACAGTCAAGTGTGGAAAATAGTAATAGCACTTACACTTATATATCACTTCACAGGGCTTTACAGCCCTCTCTAAGCAGTTTACAGAGTCCGCCTATGGCCCCCAACAATCTGGGTCCTCATTTTACTGACCTTAGAAGGATGGAAGGCTGAGTCAACCTTGAGCCGGTGAGAATTGAACTGCCGAACTGCTGACAGCCGGCAGTCAGCACAAGTAGCCTGCAGTACTGCATTCTAACCACTGCGCCACCACGGCTCTTAAGTCAGTTACTGACTTAACTGATTTTAAGATGGTCGTAAGTCCCTTTTTTCAATGCCGTTGTAACTTCGGTCGGTCACTAAATGAACTGTTGTAAGTCAAGGACTACTTGTATATGTGATGGGAGCAGCTTCTGGACTGACCCAGGGACTTTATGCAGGCATGCCCAAAGACAGAATTAATTTCCAAAATGAGTAGCATAGCAACCTCACTTACCCAGCACACAAAAGGAGGCCCTGGCTGAGCCTTCAACAACATTTTCCGGTAATGTCAGAGGAATAGATTCGGACTTAGGTTTTCCTATAAAAGAGAAACAGAATTTAGACCAGGGTGCATTTGGCACTGCTATTCTGACTGGACTCTTGGTGCAACATACTGCTTAGAAGGCTGAGCTACAGTAGTGATTTTAGCAGGAGTCAAATTATTCAAGAGACTATGTCCAATATTTATATCATCCCCCCCCCCTTCCTCTCATCTAGGCTTTCCCAAAAATGCTTTTTTATGAGGCAACTGGACTTTCTTGTTTTGCTCTGAAGACATTTTGCTTCTCATCCAAGAAGCTTCTTCAGCTTTGAAGCTTCAGAGCTGAAGAAGCTTCTTGAATAAGAAGCAAAACGTCTTCAAAGGAAAACAAGAAAGTCCAGTTGCCTCGTGAAAAAGCATCTTTGGGATAATTATGACCTGGATGACGGAGAATCTCCATAGACATCTAGGCCAGGAGTGTCAAACTGCCAGCCCACAGGCCGCATGTGTCATGCCGAAACCGTGCCCACCCCATTGCCGGCAATGGAAAAAAAGTCGCGACACGTCATGTGACGTTTCGAGTTTCACACCCCTTATCTAGGCTTTCATGAATGTCTGGGTTTGGGAGGTGGTGATCTTCTTTTGAAGGAGGTACTTTTAAAAAAAGTGCATTTAAAGTAAGTTAATATCTGTGTCTACAGGGTCAACGTACCATCTGCACAGAGATGAGAGTTGAAGACCACTTCTTTCTCGATCCCTTCAGGCTTCACCAGAATAGAAAAGAAAGGAAAAAGGGGGAGATGAACATGAGTGTTAGAATCATTTAAAAAAATGTCACTGTAGAAATAACATCTGAGTTAAGTAGGTAAGCACCAACAGGAAATCCCAAAGGTGCTTTTTCAGGAGGCAACTAGACTGTCTTATTTTTCTTTGAAGACGTTTCGCTTCTCATCCAAGAAACTTCTTCAGCTCTGACTGGAAATGGAAGGATTTATATTCCTTGCAGACAGCTGGTCATTTGCCTTCTTTTAGACTGTTGGGGCAAATATGCAGACTCTGTAAATTGCTTAGAGAGGGCTGTTAAGCACTGTGAAACGGTATATAAGTGCTAGTACTAGTGTTATTTTATGTAAAGTCTTGACTAATCCCTTTTTTCTATCATTTGCTGGCTTTCTTTAAAAAGCCCCTTTTTGTTGTTGTCATTTCTGTTGTTTTTGTTGCCTTTCTTATAGTAGCCATTTTTTCTATTGTAAAATTTGTAATCCAAAGAAGAAGAAAGTGAAAGGGGGGGAGGCAAACAGATCACTGATAAGATCCCTTCCCTTCAGATCTTATCAGACTTCTCCCAAGGAGCAACACTCCAGAGCTCAGATAGGTAATCTCATACCTTCTCTTCTTGTCCTGGGAAGATCTACTATCTGGGATAAATTGCCAGCTGTTGGTATTTTCCTCAGCATCTTCCCCGACATTTAGCATAGATATCCACCACTGCTTTACTCAGAAGTCTGTATCCCCTCATTACCCAGCCCAGGTTTAAAGCATCCCATATACCTCAACTAATAGTGACTTGATCATGACGTCTTTGTTTCCGATGGTGGGCACCTCCACTACTTCATTCCCACAGAGCTGATTTGAGCTCACAGCCTCTGCACTTGCTGTGATGTTTATCTCCCCTGGAACAAAAATGATCATCTCCTTACAATATGCTACCCTTATATTTTAATGGTATGTGGGAAAGATCTAGGGAGATTGGGCACAGAGACCCTGCCAAGAGTATGGTCAGATAAGGGACAGCAGAGCCTGCAGCTGTATAGTGGGGAGACATCAACTGTCCAGTTGGCATTTCCAGAAAAAGGAACTCCTGGGACCAAGAATATAATACTTTACTGAAAATTTACATTGGCACAGAAGAAGCAAAACCAGCTCTGGTTTTCCCACTCAAAAATTAATTAAACAATAGATTCCCTTGCCACCATCCACGGGGTGTTCACATTGTCCAATATAATACTTCTTCTTGTTATGGGAAAAGTCCACTTCTCCATCGAGCACCTCCATTAGCGATCTTGGTGTTATCAGCACCAAGCTCTCAAAGATGTCTCGGTTGCCTAGATACCATCCCTCCCACCTTTGCATTCCACAATCATGTCAAGCTATGAGCAAAGGGAGAAAATGTAGGTGAAAAGGCGAATCAATCTTCACAGGAGATGCAAGAGAATCAGAAGAGACCCTCCCTAGTTTCTCAGGCTGTACAGGAGAGAGCAGGAGAATTGAACTTTCAGAGTTGCAGTATTGATGCCAGTTAAGACAGTAAACACAACCTGATGACTTAATTCTATTTTAACTGTAAATCTGTATTAGTAGAATCTTTCATGTTTGAAAGTAAAAATCTCCCGCTGTCTCCTTTACAGCCCAAGAAACTAGAGAGGGTGTCTTCTGAGCCTCTTGCCCTGCCTTCTGTACATCTGCAGGCAATGCCATCTCCTAGCTGAGTATTCCCTAGGCCCGTGGTGGCAAACCTATGGCAGGCGTGCCACAGGTGACATGCAGAGCCCTCTCTCTGGGCACGCACGCCCTCACCCCAGTCCTAGGCCTTCAGCTGGGTTTTATAAAACCTTTTCGCATTAGGCCTCCACCGCCCTGTGCAAAAAAAAAAAAAGTTCAATAAATCAATCAATTTCAACTTCTCACAGGGAAAAAAAAGATCTCGCAAAGTTGGAATTGATTGATTGAACTTTTTAGTCCCACCCAGTCTGCCATTACCACCACAGCCACGCCCACCCAACAGGCCACACCCACCTAATGGGCCACACCCACCCGGCACCCAACAATATGTAAATGGGTTTTGGGTTGCAGTTTGGGCACTTAGTCTCTAAAAGTTTCGCTCTCACTGCCCTAGGCAATGTCTTTTTGCCCGGTCTCCCAAGGTCTTTCTTGTATACCATTATAATCCTAGGAAGAAATGATAATTAAAACTCTGCTCCTTGATTTACTTTATACACAGAGGGAAAAGATCATTTTTAAATAATGGTTCAATGACCCAAAAGGATTGTTTAGTTACACTTACCTAGAATTTTAGGGGTCACCATCCATGGCACTGTTTTTCTTCCGCTTGCACAGATACAATAGGAATCCTCCTCCTTCTCCATAGGGGATGCATCAAAGTCAGCAGAAGGAGCCAGAGATATTCTGACCTATTCATTTGGAAAAAAAAAATAGTTCAGTGGGAAAACTATACATCCCCACTGCAGTGCAGAGAAAAGCTCATAATCATCATTTCCCATGAGGCCCCTGTGAGCCTTTCTAAAGGCCCTGAAAACATGGTGTCTCCAGCAACACTGGGGATCCCATGGGGAGCCTGCACAATGGTTATACTATGATTAGATGAATGTTCTTCTCCCCGAGGTTTGCTTGTATTTATTTGTTAAGTTTTGAACATCTGTGACATTGTTTGAATATTTATTTGCTTGCTTATTGAATTTTTATGCCACCAGCACACACATATACATATATAAATGAATGAGCGGCTGAATGAATGAAAAGGATGGTGTACAGTATGTTCAAAACTCTTTTATTCTCCCAGAACAGTGGTGGCGAACCTATGGCACATGTGCCAGAGGCAGCACGCCAGAGGCAGCACTCAGAGCCCTCTCTGTAGGCATATGCACCATGCCCCAGAGATGGCAACCATCCCTCTTCAACCAGCCCCCCGCTAACTCACTGAGGTCCCATGTGGCCGGATGCATCCCAGCATGGCTGGTTTCCCTCCCCCCCATCCCATTTCTCCTGGCCTCGCATGCTCTCCTTTTCCCAGGCATGACCCACTGCATCGCCTCCTCAGCTGTTGGCCATCCATCCAGCTCAGAAGCTGTTTTTCTGAACTGCTGGTGGCAGAGCCCCAGATTGCACCAGTCGAGGGGCCGGCAGGATGTGGCTGCTGATGGACACTGTCAGCCCCCATGCACTTGCTGGCCTCTATGTGCAGGGGCCAATGGTGTCAGGCAGCAGCCGCCCCAGCCCCTGCCTCACCTTGCCCTGTGACAATGGTACCCCCACCCTGCCTCACCTTGCCTCGACTCACCCTGCAGGACGAGCCTCCTGCCCTCCGCTCCACCTGCCAAAGACCCCCTGGATCTCCCCCAACCCTGCCCGGCCCCCACAGGCATCCCTCCCCATGAGCAACATCAAGGTGGCCACACCCACCTTGGCCACACCCACCCAGTCTGCCATGACCACCACAGCCACGCCCACCCAGTGGGCCATGCCCACCTGGCACCCGGCGATAAATAGGTGGGTTATGGGTTGCAGTTTGGGCCCTCGGTCTCTAAAAGGTTTGCCGTCACTAGGCAATACACCTTGAAAGGTTCTGTCTTTACCTATATCTCTATCTGTGTCAGGGTTGATGTCGAACAATTCAGCCAGAGTTCAGTTCTTTATCTGCTTATACACAACAGACAGAATCTTGCCAGACTAAACCCTTAACATTCCCAGTCTTACAGGTATATCCTGAGAGATTCTAGGACAGTGGTGGCGAACCTATGGCACTCGTGCCAGACGCGGCAGTCAGAGCCCTCTCTGTGGGCACGGATGCCATGCCTTGGAGATGGCAAACATCCCTCTTCAACCAGCTGCCTGCTACCTTGCTGAGATCCCACATGGCTGGATGTATCCCAGCACCCATGCGCTCGCTGGCTTCTGTGTGCAGGGGCCAATGGTGTCAGGCAGCCGCCGCCCCGGGCCCTGCCTCTCCTTGCCCTGTGACAATGGCACCCCCACCCTGCCTCGCCTTGCCTTGCCTCACCCCGCAGCACAAGCCTCCAGCCCACTGCCCCACCTGCCAGAGACCCCCTGGATCTCCCCCAACCTGCCCGGCCCCCATGAGCAACATTGAGGTGATCACGCCCACCTTGGCCACACCCACCCAATCTGCCATGACCACCCAGCCACATCCACCCAGTGGGCCACGCCCACCTGGCACCCAGCAATAAATAAGTGGGTTTTGGGTTGCAGTTTGGGCACTCAGTCTCTAAAAGGTTCGCCATCACTGTTCTAGGAAATGGCTATCCAAAATCTCTGTCTCCTATCCAGCTCCAAGCTGTGGTGCCTCTTATCTGCCCTACTTTCTAGAATGTGCTGCTCGTTCCTGAGAAACTGCTACTTCACTATAAGCCACCTCCTCAACTCTTCCTCCATCTGAACCATCTCTCACAATCTTTTGGAATAAATTACAAATACACTTTGGAATATGGAACCATGACTGATTGAATTAAAAACTAGTCATACTTCCATATTGTAGGCATGAAGATATGAGGAAGGAAACAGCCAGCCTGGTCCAAGTATTGTGTTGCAAAAGATAAAGATAAACGTAGCATTGTGTCCCAAGTCTTGACGTCATCGTGCATATAGAACACAAGTTATTCTAGTCATTGAGGTAGGAATCCTACAAGCTTCTCTTTGCTATTCTTGATAAAATAAGCAATTAAAGAACTGAAAAGGGAGATCAACCCCATTCTGGCTAATGGTAAAGCCGGATCCCAGCCACAATCTTCTGGGTACAACCTACACTTTCTCTGCAAGTTCTAGTTCAGGGATCCCCATGAAGAGTGGGGGCCGGGTGGAGGCCGTGAGCAGCACGCTGCCCTTCTGATGCCTGTGTGCCTTCTCTCTCTCCTTATCTCTTTTTCTCTGCATTACCATGGCAATGTGGGAAACTACCCAGGCTAATGCAATGACCTTGCCTGCCTGATATCAGCTAGCCTACAACAACAGGATGCTACAGCCAACTGCCCCCTGTTTTGGGCCTCTGGCTTTCTATCCTTAATGATTGGCAAGGGGTTTCACCAATAGAAATGCTGTTACTATGCTGATGCCATGTTAAACTTTTGCTGCTTTGAAACCTGTATATAAAGAATAAACGCTGCGAAGGCGGTAAGCCATATTTGCACTCTGCAATGACTGAGCACTGATTACTACATCCCCAACCCCCAGTCCATGGACCGGCGCTGGTCCATGGCATGCCAGAAACCATGCCGCACAAACAAGTGAAATCCCATCCACGGGATGCAGGGAGTATGCAACACCACACCCCCTCTGGTCCACAGAAAAACCTTTCTCCACGGAATTGGTCTCTGATGCCCCAAAGGTTGGGGGGCCACTGTTCTAGTTCATTTCCCCTTATGCACTCATTACTTTCATAGCTGTATAGATGTTATGGTTCCGGCTAATGAAACACTTCAAAGAACTTCCAGGCATTGATTTTCCTAAAAGTAATTTATTGTTACAAAATGTCGGCATAGGCATAACGAAGTTGATGCTAAGATCTAAAATTCTCTTCCTCTGAGCAATTAATTTACCAGCATGTTCCCTCCCTAAATTTGCTGTCATATATCATGTTCTCCTATCAGGTGGAAGGGCAGAGGTTCTCTTCCGGTCTCTTCCCACCCGCAGTCCTATCTTTCTCCTCCCCCCACCATAATCTGAATTAACTCTAAAAATACCAGACAGTTCTGCATATTTTGTCAAAGCAAGAATATACAGTATTTGCAGCATTGACAATAATTCAGTAGACAAGCATCCGCTAGAACAGTGTTTTCAAACTCAACAACCTTAAGTTGAGCGGACTTCAACTGCTGGCCGGAGAATTCTGGGAATTGAAGTCCAAACATCTTAAAGTCATCAAGCTTGAAATACTGTACTAAAGGGGGGGAGTATTGAAAGCCAATTCTCTGGCGAAGATGGCAGTGAGAGAAATATAAACACAGTGTCTTAAAGAAATACGATGGCTTCAGACGTGTAGAATCCAGTGGGTAGTTCGGTTTCTGTTTTTGTTTTTGTTTTGCAAACTGGGGCAGGATAATCTCAGGTTGTTTTGAGAGCTTGAATGCAAACCATGGACAGTTAAGAATTAAGCACCTGAAGGCAGAACAAGAAGCAATGGATGGAAACTAATCAAGGAAGCAACCTAGAACTAAGGAGACATTTCCTGACAGTGAGAAAAATTAATCAGTGGAACAGCTTGCCTCTGGAAATTGTGGGTGCTCTATCCCTGGAGGTTTTTAAGAAGAGACTGGACAGTCATTTGTCCAGAATGATATAGGTTCCTGCTTGAACAGAGGGTTGGACTAAAAGATTTCCAAGGTCTCTTCCAACTCTGTTATTGTGTTATTCTGAACTGGAGCAAATAGGCAGAGAAAGAGAACCAAGCAATTTCAAGAATACAAACAGAAGATTCCACAGAAGCCATTAAGTAATCCTTACCCGGATGCAGTAATCCTGGTAGGAGAAGACTGTAGCCTTGAGTGGGAAGGCTTCTCCTCGCACCACGGAATAGGGTAAAGTGAGTTCAATGAAGAATGGCTGGAAAGCCGTCAGAGAAGCGGGCTGGGCCAGGCCAAAGCCAGTGTCTGCTGAAAGACAGAAAGCTCCAGCTTTCCATTCGGTGATGGTGTCCGGGATGGTCACAGGAAGAGCAATCTCCTTGGATTCTTTAGATACATCCCTCCTTCTGCCAGAACCAAGGAGGTGAGAAGGGCTATTTCTTTGAGAATCACTGAAAGACACAAGAGAACAGAAAGTGAGGGAAGCAAATCTTCTACAGGTACTCCACGACTTCCAACCATTTGTTTATTGACCATTCCAAGCTACAACAGCCCTGAAAAAAGTGGCTTATGGCCATTTTTCACACTTATGCCCATTTGTCAACTTCCAGCTGAAGTATCCAAATAAAAGTCCAGGATTACTTTCATTTCTGAAAAGCTTACTGCTTATTGAATACATGGCCTGGTAAAGGTGAGGTAAAACTAACTCTAAAATCCCAAGGCATCAGACCATAGTATATATAACAATGACTTTCCCAGCCAAACCACCCCAGATTAACATGTAGCTTATGCAAACATGTTCTCTTTGTTATGGGAACCATTTGCTATCTTCTTCACACCTGCTAGAACGTCCTTGAAAGGTTTCCACACTGCTGACTTTCAGCAGGAACTGAAGAGATTTCATTTTTCTCACTAACCCATTTGAAAACAACACCTCTCTTCCCCCCCCCCCATTCTAATAGCAAAATGAAAACAGAGGCACGTAGCTGCCAAATTTTCACTCTTTGACACCATCGCCACATCCTCGTGGTTGTGATCAAACTTTGAACGCTTCACAACTGGCTCATATTTATGATACTTGTAGAATTCCCAGGGTCACGCGATCCCCTTTGAGATCTTCTGTCAAGCAAAGTCAATGGGGAAGCCAGAGTCCCATAACAACTGTGTCACTAACTAACAAGTTGTAAAATAGGGCAAAATTTACTTAACAACGTTAGGCCCAATTGTGGTCATAAGCCAAGGACTTGCCTCCAAGGAACTCCATCAGGGAGACAAAGGATAATAGTTAAAACGGGCTACAGGTTTTAATTTCACTTACGACCAGTCGCTTAACAATTGCTTGAAGTTATGATGGTGCCCCCCCCCCACAAAGCTACACATTTTCAAACTTATGATGGCTGGGCACAAACACACCCCCAATCTCGTCTTAGCATTTTGGGCACTTGGCAATCAGCCATTTGCAGCCTCCCATGGTCACATGACTGTGATTTACAATATATATATATTTGCTGATTTCTGGCATTTATTTCTGGTCTCCAGCAAAAACACCCACTGGGAAATGTCTATGGAGATTCTTAGTCATCCAGGTCATAATTGTCCCAAAGATGCTTTTTCACGAGGCAACTGGACTTTCTTGTTTTTCCTTTGAAGACATTTCACTTATCATCCCAGAAGCTTCTTCAGCTCTGACTGAATGGTGGGGAATGGAAGGATTTATACTCCTTGCAGACAGCTGGTCATTTGCATTCTTTTAGAGAGTCACTGAAGCCATTTGGAGGTTTACCTGTGTTCTCAGGGTCACCTGAGTGGTACAAATGGGTGCACTACTCAAGAAGGTTCCACACCCATTTTCACTACTTAGATGACCCTGACGACACAGATAAACTTCCAAGTGGCCTCAAGACTCTCTAAAAGAATGCAAATGACCAGCTGTCTTCAAGGAATATAAATTGTTCCATTCCCCCACCATCCAGTCAGAGCTGAAGAAGCTTCTTGGATGAGAAGTGAAATGTCTTCAAAGGAAAAATAAGAAAGTCCAGTTGCCTCGTGGAAAAGCATTTTTGGGACACCCATTGGGGGGAAAATGGGTTTTCTTAACCATGGTATTCATTCAATGACCACTGCGCGCACACACACAAAAATCAGGTCACAATGCCTCAATTTACAACTGCAATGACGTACGACCATAATTCCAGGGTCAATTAGGATGGTAAGTTTAGTACTATCTATATATTTTTGGAAAGAAAAAAAAACAGCATAAAAGATTGATCAGTCCAGGAGCAATTGTGCAGGAACTTCAATGAACCAGATGTCTGCACAGCAATATAGATTTAGAGTGCTGTAACATGAACTCTCTTGAGAGTTTTAATTTAAAAAAAAAAAAAAATCAATATTAAGATCAAGTTGAATTGCAGGCAGACTTCTTCCACGCATGTTTTAAACAGTTGTCTTCTTCTGGTGCCTTCCGGAAATATTGGATTGCAACTGCCTTCGTGTTCAGCCAAGCCAGCTTAAACTTGCCACTTGAGTTGGAGGGTGATGGAGGGAGCCGGTGGTGACGAACCTATGGCACGAGTGCCACAGGTGGCACGCAGAGGCCTCTCTGTGGGCACGCGCACCATCGCCCCAGTCCTAGGCCTTCAGCTGGGTTTTATAAAACCTTTTCACTTTAAGCCTCCGCCACCGTGTGCAGAAAAAAAAGAGGTTCAATCAATCAATCAATTTCAACTTCTTGCAGGAAAAAAAAAGATCTTGCAAAGTTGGAATTGATTGATTGAACTTTTTAGTCCCACCCAGTCTATAGTTACCACCAAAGCCATGCCCACCCAATGGGCCACGCCCACCCGGCACCAGACGATACATAAGTGAGTTTTGGGTTGCAGTTTGGGCACTCGGTCTCTAAAAGGTTCACCATCACTGGGGGGAGCTATAGCCCTCCCTGTCTGGAAGGCTCCCAAGGTTGGAGAAATTGGTCTCCAGGGGAATCTCTTAGGCTGTGCCATCAACTTACTTTATCATAACCAGGCGCCACAACCATGTTTCAGGAAAAACGTGGCGAGGTGTCCTTTCAGGGGCGGCCACAACCTGAGGAGTGGGAAGCCCCGGAAGAGGACCAGAAAGAACACCTAAACCAGCTCCAGCGGCTGGCATGCGCCCAATTCCCGGGAAAGCGAAGCCCGGACCAAAAGCAGCCCCTCCAGGCATCGGTAAATGCTCAGGTACCATCCCTAGAACACAGAGAGAGAAAAATTGGATGAATTGCAACAAAGATGATCAGGGGACTGGAGGCTAAAACATATAAGGAACAGTTGCTGGATTTGGGTATGTCTAATTTAATAAAGAGAAGGACGAGGGGGTGACATGATAGCAGTGTTCCAATATCTCAGGGGCTGCCCCAAAGAAGAGGGAGTCAAGCTATTCTCTAAAGCACCTGAAGGCAGGACAAGAAGCAATGGATGGAAACTAATCAAGGAGAGAAGCAACCTAGAACTAAGGAGAAATTTCCTGACAGTTAGAACAATTAATCAGTGGAACAACCTGCCTCCAGAAGTTGTGAATGCTCCAATGCTGGAAGTTTTTAAGAAGATACTGGACAGCCATTTGTCTGAAATGGTATAGGGTTTCCTGCCTGAGCAGGTGGTTGGACTAGATGACCTCCAAGGTTCCTTCCAACATTATTATTATTATTGTTGTTGTTGTTGTCCCAATGAAGTTGTGGGAGCTTAATCTGCACACTGAAGTTTGAAGATTTAAATACCTCTTCATGTTGAGCTGGTAGATTTTTAAAAATTAGGCTTATTTTTAATGATGGAAAAAAGCAGGATGGAAAGCAAGGAAGGAAGGAAGGAAGGAAGGAAGGAAGGAAGGAAGGAAGGAAAGAAGGAAGGAAGGAAGGAAGGAAAAGAAAGAAAAAAGAAAAAGAAAGACAGAAAGACAGACAGAAAGGAAGGAAAGAAGGAAGGAAGGAAGGAAGGAAAGGAAGGAAGGAAGGAAGGAAGGAAGGAAGGAAGGAAGGAAGGAAAGGAAGGAAGGAAGGAAGGAAGGAAGGAAGGAAAGGAAATAATTATTATTATTATTATTATTATTATTATTATTATTATTATTACCATCATCATCAACATCATCAAAGGATCCCAGACCCTCCCCTCCTCAGGTCCCGTTTTGTTAATTCTCCGCATAAACCCACAGTGGATGATTGGAGACTTCCAGACTAGAGGCCCCCAACCTTTTGGGCACCAGGACCAGTTACATGGTAAGAGGTTTTTCCACGGACCGGAGGGGGCCTGGTTTTGTGTGCTGCCTGCATCCCGTGGATGGGGCTTTGCTTGTTTGTGCGGACTGCTTGTTGGCAGGCCGCAGCCCGGTACTGGTCCACAGACCGGGGTTTGGGGACCCCTGGTTCCAGACAGTTGAACAATGGGGGAAAAATTTCATCACTGGAAGCCCCGACCTTTCCACCTTCTTTGCTCCATGGAACTTGAGGCCAAGAATCCAAACATCACCTGTTAGATTCCCCCATAAACTCTATCCTCTTTGTGACGATTACTGTCAAACCCATAATTCAAATAGAATTGTTTTATGTCCAAGTATATTTACCCATGTTGTGTGGCAGCAGTGGTATTATTATCCTATTCACCTTTTCTACTGCCTGCTCTTATTGTTATCGTATTATGATTATTAGCATGGCTTTTTTTCTCATAGAATGCATGGAATGGCGTTCCGGTACCTTCTTTTTGAACAGAAGAACTGGTTCCTTCTAAGCTGCCAGCGGGAGTACAGGTATGGCTGCAGAGTGATTTTGTGGACCCTCAGCAACCCGATCCAGGCTCCGGAGGCCTGGAAAAGGCCTCTGCCGCCCAGATCTATGGTTCCAGAGCGATTTTGCAGCTCCCAAGCAGCCCGATCCGGGCTCCGGAAGCCTGGAAAAGACTTTCAGAGCCCGGATCCATGGCCATGGAGTGATTTTGCAGCCCCCCAGTGGCCCAATCTGGGCTCCGGAGGCCTTTTCCATGCCTCTGGAGCCCGGATCCATGGCCGCAGAGTAATTTTGTAGCCCCCCAGCGACCCGATCCGGGCTTTTGGAGGCCTTCTATTCCCTGCTCAAGCAAAAGATCCTATACCATTTCAGACAAGTGGTTGTCCAATCTCTTCTTAAAAGTTGCCAGTGATGCAGCATTCACAACTTCTGGAGGCAGTTTGTTCCACTGGTTAGTTGTTCTAACTGTCAGGAAGTTTCTCCTTAGTTCTAGCTTGCTTCTCTCCTTGATTAGTTTCCATCCATTGATTCTTGTCTTGCCTTCAGGTGCTTTTGAAAATAGATTGACCCCCTCTTCTTTGTGGCAGCCCCTCAAATATTGGAATACCGCTATCATGTCACCCTTTGACCTTTTCTCTAGACTATCCATACCCAGTTCCTGCAACAAAGAGACACTCCCACACAGCCCCTCTGCAACAGAGGAAGTCAGGATCAAATCTCAGCTATCAGGTCTCTATCTATGGAAGAGTTCCAACACTCAATCCCGGAAGTAGCTGGATTGTAAAAGATCCCACTCCCTTATCATTTTTTCCCCATTCCAGTTCTTACCAAGGTTGAAGCAGTTGTGCGGGTTGCGCAGCTTGGTGTTTGTAAAAATGCTCAAGCCAAAGTCCTACCAGATGAAGCAAAGAGCCACTGAGGAACAGTTCTTTCTGCTCATGAAAAACTAATTATCAATGTTTATTCTTTGTACGTTCTAATATACTCAACCGTAAGGAATATATTATTGTCCAACTCTCTCCAGTAATTCTTTTTTCATAATGCTGCACCCACTGCCCATATTGCTACACATTTGGGGGGGGGTACTTAAAGGGACAGACAAGCAACAGATGGAATTTGGCATCTTCAATAGCCATCTATAGCCAAATAAGGAAAGCCAATTCTTTAACGGGTCTTTTAGCAGTGGAAGAGAAGCCTTAGCTGGTGGCAGCTCCTGACTGAGCCTATATCAGCTTGGAAGTTACAGGTAGTCCTCTATTTACAATAGTTCATTTAGTGACCATTCAAAGTTGCAACAGCACTGAAAAAGTGACTTACGATTGTTTTTCACATGCCTATTGCAGCATCCCCAAGATCACATGATCAAAATTCAGATGTTTGGCAACTGACACATATTTACGACAGTTGCAGTGTTTTGGAGTTATGTGATCACTTTTTGTGACCTTCTGACAAGGAAAGTCAATGGGGAAGCCGGATTCACTTAACAACCATGTTATTAAAGCACTAGCAGACTTATATACCGCTTCACAGTGCTTTACAGCCCTCTCTAAGCAGTTTACAGACTCAGTCTATTTGCCCCCAACAATCTGGGTCCTCATTTTACCGACCTCGGAAGGATGGAAGGCTGAGTCAACCTTGAGCCAGGTCAGGATCGAACTGCTGGAGTGAAAAGTGAGTTAGCCTGCAGTACTGCATTCTGACCACTGCGCCATTATGGCTCTTAGCTCTTAACGGTTGCCGTGATTCACTTAACAACTGTGCAAGGGGCAAAACTCACTTAACAAATGTCTCACTTAGCAATAGGAATGTTGGGCTCAATTGTGGATGTAAGTTGAGGACCACCTGTAAGGTCATATTAAATCCCAGGGAAGATGGTTAGGAATGACAAACAATTAAGAAAATAAGGAATGTACTGTATATCACGAAGGAAGGCAAATATACGTGTCCCACGATAATGTTGCAGGATCTAATCTGGATCAGTCACCGGGACCCAAGGTTTTGTTTTCCGAGCTTTTGGATTCGTGCTGGAGACCATCTTCAGGGAACTTCTCTCTACCAGAATGTGTGCTAGCTCCCTAAGGATGGGCTCCAGCATAAGACTGAAACCTCTGGTCCCAGTGACTGACCCAGATTGGATCCTGCAAGGAAAGTATATTACTATGGATCTGACCAGGAAGACATCAGGAGTCTACTTCAGCTCAGCAGAGAATCTACTAGGCACTTCTTCTTGCCTAATGAGAGCATCTACTGCGTGGAGTACCATAGCTTTGATGCTTACCCTGAATATTTTGTAAGAATCCCCATCCTCGGAAAAAAAATGCAATGTGCCGAAGCCAATATTTTCAGGCCTGAATGGTTCTTCAGGGCAGGGATGAAGATTGGTTTCATCCAAAATGAGGTCATCAGAGATGATGCGCTCTTTCTTGGGCAGGAAATTGTAAACCTGAAACCAGAAAGATTGCAACTAAGGATGGAGATTTGGGGTAAAGGAACTTCCTGCCTGTCAAGCTAATGAAACAGGCTGTGCAATGGAATGGGAGAATGACCTTGGGAGATGAGGGAAGAATGTTCTGGATCGTGTAATCCTGACTAGAGCATGTAGATCTGTATGTTAGAATGTTTGGCATTTATTGGGTTAAGTGCTGTCTCCTTAAGAGATGGCTTATGGGTAATGTAGTTTTAGCTAGTCAGCTATCCCATGTTAACAGGTCAGTAGGAGGAGGAAGGAGGAGCCACTAAAGTTCATCACAGGATATCCTGGCCATGGGCCAGTTGGGGAATGCCTTTGTTTCATCCAGCCTCATGGCTCTTAGCCCCACGGCTTGGAGGTCCTATGCCAACATGTGAGTCTTATGCAGAAGAAGAGGGGGAAATCCATTATCAAATTACCTGTGGAATGAGCTACATTGCTAAATATGCTTCTGGACATATCTTTACATAACAGTGAGTTATTGTTTAGAATTCCTAGAAATAAAAGCGATATTTCTTTGTTTATTTCGCTGAGTTATCTGTCTGTCTCTGACAGGATTAAAGTAGCCTATTCTGTCTGGGACAGAATAAAGGGAGACAGAGGTCAGATAAAAGAGGGATGAACCTGAAGCTGACTAACGGACTGAGAAAGAAATGTAGAGAGGATCCACCCTAACCAACCAAATGGCAAAAAGAGACAGCAGGTGATTTGTGCTTTCAAATCTGCAAGATTGTTATCAGCCTCTCAAGTACAACAGACCAAACAATAAACACAATAAGGTTAGTTAAATCTACTTTATTGTAAGGTCACATTAACAGAATCTTGCAAGTCTGAAAGCACAGTTCTCCTGCCACATCTTTTCAGCAGTTGATAAATTAGATCCCTTCTAAGTTTTTTTCTCTGTCCATTACTTAGTTTCGGGCTTCTCCCCCTTTTATCTGATCATTCCCCAGGCAGCATCTCTTCTGCCTGTCCTCCAAGGTCATTCTCATGTTCCATTATAGGCCGCCACATGAAATGATGAGTTCTCTTTTACTGGAAATCTCAAAACAGAGGGCACCCTGGTCTTCTGGCCAAGATGCTCCAGATGATTCTACATTGAGACACCTCTGAGACAGGCTGGGTTGAGAATACAAGAGTGATCTATGTTTGATGGAGAACCAGAAGTTGAGTGCTTAGTCTGTCCTCTTCCACAGTAGTCTGCACTGGTTTGCAATAGTGGCTAATATCTGTAGCTCAGGTGTAGGTTGAGGATGAAGGTTCGTTCTCCAAGCTTGTGGGTTGGTTTCCAAATATTTCATTACCAGGCTAGGTAACATCTTCAGTGGAGTTTAGGGGATGTCAGTGTCAGTGTTCTGTTTATAAGGGCTTCAAGTATGTGTGTGTCAAGTGAGGGTCTTATGATGGGTCAATTGTGAGTCATCAGTGAGAGGGTTTGATAGGTTTTGTGATGGAGAGGTTACATCAGGCCAGGGTAATTGGGAGGTGAACTGCTGGTGGAGGGAAAGGGGGCTTGCGTGGGTTGGTTGAGGGTTGGTGCTGGTTGGTTGTGTGGCCGATTTGGATTCTGAAGAGTTTGTAGGCTGGTTGTAGGTCAAACTCTGCTGAAGATGTTACCTAGCCTGGTAGCGAAACATTCAGAAACCAACCCACAAGCTCAGAGAACGAACCTTCACCCTCACTCCACACTGATTCTGGGACTCTGAGGAGAGGACTGACCCAAAGTTCCTCAGGAGTTCCACTCCTAATCCATCACTTTCACCACTATAACACATTACCTCACATTATGGCAAACTCTCTGGACTGTGATATTGGGCTTACCCTTGGTCTATATGCTTTGTCCTTCTATTTTTCTGACATTTTCTTCCCCTAAAACTAGTTTATGGACAACATTCTTTACGTCTCCTTGCCTACAGTCCTCCCACGGCACCTTAAATTTGATTGTGACCGCTATCATCTGGTGTAAATTGTAAATAAGTGGCTGCAAGTGATCATATTTGAAATACATCTCTATGAACAAGTAAATCTTGGGATGAAACCAGCAGGAGCCAGGACATATCTGGGCCCCAGTTGAAATGCAGTTGGGACCCACCTTCTCAGGGGAGATCTCAGTTTCAGGTTTCAAGAGAAAGACACTCTGGTCAACAGCGTGGATGGCACAGAGGGAACCGGGGAAGGCTGAAAGATGGAGTTGGGTTTTCTGGCCAGGCAGGCCTTGTTGATCAGAGAACCAGAGTCTGGCCTGTAAACATAAACCAGGTCTTTGAAAAAGCCATTTCCTCTCTGCATGGAATGAATGGAAAGAGAAATGAGTGGGACGAAGTCATCCTTGTTGTCATGCACATTGTAACCTTGAGTTGCCCCCTGTGACTAATCTCAAGCCACAGTTTGACAGGCTCAATCAAACTATTGGCTGACCAAAGAAAAATAGACTTTATTTTAGTTTGGAGAGAACATAGCTGATTACATCAGCCTGGACAAGCAGATAACAAAAGTGTAACTCAAGAGCTATTTCTCAAAGGATCAGAAGCAAAGAAGATTTTGTGGATATTAGTGCCAGTAGAGATGGGTAGCACCAGCTCAAAAAAAGACCTGTTCTGCAACATTCAGATTTTGCCTTTCTTTAACAGCACAACACAAGATGCACAACTTTACCTTGTTAGAAAAGCACTTTTCTATGGTGAAATCTCTCGAGTCAGCAATGAGTTCTCCACTGGGCAAAATGGTGTAGACAAGCAAGTGGGTCTTGGGAGCCATGTCAACATCCACCGAGAGATTCAAAAGGAAGTCCCCTTTGGGTTCTAAAGGATGAAATTCCCCAGTGGCGGGAGAAGAAGAGATTGAAAGAGGCATATAAATTTCATTAAACAGATGGACAGACAGATGAGAGAGAGGGAGAGAGAGGGAGGGAGAGACAA